CTATAACCGAATAAAGTGTGTGTTAAAATCCGGAGTGTTGTATTGTTCATATTTAACATTTAACATAATATATATATATATATATATATATATATATACCCGGCAAACTTGAAACGGGCAGGTGGCAAAAAGATTTAAAGCCTTATTATAGTTTTAAAGGTATTTTACAAAATAATTACATTTTTAACTAATGCTTAAAAACTACCAACGGAAGAAAATACTTTTATTATGGATTCTCAAAGATTACCGTTTATCTCCCCCATTTCAAAGATTACCGTTTTCAAATCAAGCTTGTAGCTGGCTATAAATCTTTTTTCCTCTACTTTCAAATGTTGTTGTTAAACAATGCTTAACTTTACTGATTTTTGACAAATCGGTGGTTGACTTTTTTAACCCCGGACTTTCATATATTACTATCTATTCTGCGATAAATTCTGGAAAATTATAACTGGAAAAATGTTATTCGACAAAAGGTCCATTTGATCGATACCAAATTTAGGTTCTGAATTTAAATAACATAAATAAAAAATAATATAACAACCTAGAAAATGTTTTATAAATACCAATGAGCATATAATTATACAAATAAGATCTTTCACCGTGTTTGAGAAAAATATGCCAAAAATGCATTTTCATATTAACATGTCGAAAAAGTTTATATTTTGAGTCTCTAGTAACACTTGGGGCCCGTTTACTAACGTTTTTGTATATAAATAAAACTACAAACAAAACTACTTACTACAAATTTATCACAAATAAATAATATTCGCGTAAAACATCCTATTAAACGTAATTGAACATCATCTGTCAAAAGCGTTTGACATTTCACGAAATTGCCACCGTCCATTGTTCTATTTAAATTACGCTTCTACAAAAATTTTCAAATTATAAATGTAAAGTTTCTACGCGGATTTGAAATAATTTCTCACCTTTTGGACATTCTCTGGATTGGCACGAATTTTTCAAGACTAAGACTGGCCAAATCGATTCAGCCGTTTTCGAGTTTTATTCGGACATTTGAAAGAGAGCTCCATTTTTATATATAAGATATGAGTGAGCTTTAAAACTTTAGTCAGAATCAAAGATAAAATCTGAATTATTTTCGATATACAAAAAAAATGTTTTGAAAAAAAAATTGAAACAGATTTTTTTTTTTAAATCAATTATTTTGTTAAAACAAGCAGAAAGTTTTTTTGAATCATTTAAATCGGACGCTGGACGCAAAGGTAGGCGCAGCGGTTTCGGAGATACAGAGCCAAATGTTAAAAAATTGCAGTTTTTAAGAGAACTAAGCGTGCGATTTAAATGATTCAAAGAACTTTCTGCTTGTTTCAACAAAATAATTGCTTTTGAAAAAAAATTGTTTCCAAATTACAATATTTTTGTAATTTTGGATTAAAAATTCAGAAAATTACCCAGACTAAGCACAGTCTAAGCGCCAATCTGGTACAAATGTTTACCCAAGTGCGTTTAGACTGTTTATGTGAAATTATGTGAAATTATATATCCAATTTTGTGAAAAATATTGAAAAATGTGAAAATGCCGCCAAGCTAAGCACAGTATAAGTGAAAATGTCGCACAGAATTATTTGCAAATGCTTATACTGTAACTATACGAGAGCACTTTTTCAATTTTGTGCAAATTAGGCACCTTTTTTTGAAATTGAATTCGAAATGAAATGACGATTGTTAATGTAATAATTGATTTATGATTTACATTTGATTTGCTCAGATATAACAAGATAGCAAAATTAATGAAAGTTACAGTATTTGTAATAATATTTTTGAAAAACGTTTAAAATTTCTCCAATATTCCATTACGGTACGGAAAGTTCCAGCAAAATTGCCTTAAGGCACGATGCCATACACCACTAGTTTTATTTTACAATTATATATAAAAACGCACAAGTTAATAAGACGCAAATACAAATAAAAACGTATTTAATACAAATAATACTTCACAATCAAATCAAATATATGAATCAAACAGAACTAGATGCAAATATTAGCAGTAATAATTTCGACCATCTCGCCACGAAGGTTGAATTATGACTGATTGTGAGGTACAATAAAATTTCTGTATTGCACCCTCTATGGTTCCGAACCCGAAACTATTCAATTAGATAACAATTTTTGAATTTTAGTATCATCTGGTAACAATTCATAGTTTTGTCCCTTTCTGACCCCAATAAAAGAGGTGCGTAATAACAGCTAAAGTCATTCTGAATTTGGAGCTCGCTTGGTGGACACTACAGCCAGTGGTAAGTCTTTTGAAAAATATTTATGTATTATGTAATCATTTCGTGCATTCAGTTTCAAATACGTGTCATGGAACTTGTGTTTTGGTTAATTCGATATAAATAAATTGAAGTAAAAATTCGTCTCTTTAATATTAAACGATTTGCGTTACATTTTCTAATTCAATATATTTGTGCTGAAGTGTCGCCTTAGTGTTTATTGTTGTGAAAATATTTAATTTTAGCCTTTGAGTTAACATAAATAATTTAATGCAATCTTTAGATTATTAAATTTAAATATAATTAAATAATATTAAATTTTAATATAAATCTTATGTTTCAAATATTTACGATTGACTACATTTGTTTTGTTTCAGATTTCATAGTGCTTTGCGCAGTGGCGGATTGCTTTAGGAATTTATTGTGCATGAATTTTTTTTTTATTCAATCACATTGACAATTTTTAATTATTTTTTATAATTTTGTTGAATTATAATTTTGAGTTATTTGCGTCCACATTTTATTTTTTTTTTGTTCGTGCGAGGACTTATTCGTAATTTTAATATCGTTTAAAACGATTTCCGCGTTTAAATGTGTTCCTGTCGCCTACCCCCCACGGCAGGTTCTAGTAATTCGCGTTTCGTTAATAAATTATTTTTGTTCATTCGGTGTATGGGTCCTTGCGATGTTTTTCCCAGAAGCAACGCAACCCCATACACTTTAATTTATAATTAGTATTATATGTACAATGTATAATTTGGAACTATTTTATTAGTAGCATGGATGTAAATAACTCGTCTAAAAATCTAAAAACTTTGTTAAATAAATTACTTGTTTTTATTTTGACTGATTTTTCTACTGTAATGCAATGAACATATTTTAATTAAATAATTTAAATTTTTTGTGATTGCACAATAAGTCTCCTAAACGGAGAAACGTTGAAGACGTACTGTTTGAAGTTAAAAAAAAGGTAAGATGATACAAAACCCTAAATTATGTAAAAAAATAACAAAATTGACATTTATTTTAGTGTAAATGGGCCTCGACTAAAGATACCAGGGGGTTGAGTACTACAACGAACAGGAGAACATGTGTACCGATATGATGTACCAGAGCACTGGAATAAATACGAGTAGGGTACTACATAGTATTTATAAGTCATTGTCTATTTCATTTCTTTCAAGTCACTTTTCATTTCAGGGTTGCAGAATTAATTTCTCGCCGCGACGGCAAGCACCAGGACTGCTAGGAGATTGTGGTGGATTAAAAAGGTTGAAGGTACTCTTTTTGGGGTGCAATGACTGCTACTTGGTTAATCTTAGCATTGTGTTTACCAATATACAGGGTTTACCTTGGCGCCCCAATCTGACTTTTAATAAAAACCGGTAGTTATATGTAGAGTGCGTAACTAACTACACGAATGAAACAGAATCTATACTTATTAACTTATTTAATGTTACCTAGTTGTGTTCGTCGTAGGTGCGAAGATATGACTGTATTTTTGTAGTCATGTCTTAAGTCTAAATTCTGATATACTATTGTTTTGGTTGATGAAAAAGCTTGAAATTATAGATGTGTATGATACGGCGTGATGACAAAGGGGATCGCATACAATCGGAGAATTCTCACTTTTTCTGGACTGTATGTTCTTCGCCCATGGAACAACACACGCACCACTATACACTAATTGTGTACTTCCGACTCGATTGACTACCTCAGAGGACTGATACTTAAAAGGTGATTGCGTCTTTGTAACGACAGCATGCAATGTTTCCAAAGGGTTGCACAACCTTTAGTGCAAACTACATCCGACGCCCGCCTATATGCTTCCTGTCGTATGTGGTCCAGAATCGCGATAAAGACTACATACATCATTTCCAAGGAGTTTCTAAACTCCTAAACTAAATCCCCACCTGCCTATAAGGCTCCTATCGTATGAGGTCCGGAGTCGCGATCGTTTTTTAGTATCACTCCTCTCAGGTGGTCAATCCAATACGGAGGACACAAGTTAGTGCATTAGTGATGGTTGTGATGTTGTGCCAGGGAAAAAGAACACGATCTAGAAAAATCCGATCGAGTTTTCCGATTTTAAGCTTTCTCCTGCGTAATTACGCCGTTCTATACATTTTTAATCATTTCTAGCTTTATCATTACCCCATCGTTAGTACATTCGAATTTAGGCTTAATGCATCACTATACATAAGTGCGGTCAAGCTCTCGGATCTGTAAACATAACTCGGTAACAATCAATAAGTTGGTAAGTAGATTCTGTTTTAATTGTGTAGTTAGTTAAAATCTCCACTGGTAACTGCAGGTTTTGTTGAGTCGAATTAGGGCGCTAAGGTAAACCCTTCATATTGGGGAATGAGATGCTAAACATACCAAATAGCAATCTTTACACTCTAACAAGAGTACCCTTAACCCTTTCAGTTCACCTGAATATGGATACCTACAGGTTTTCTCGTATTCATAAGTTAATATTAAGTAGTTAGACCTTAATTATATATAAATATAAAATATTTTTATTTTTGTTACCGGGGCCCCGTTTGTATGTTCGTCCCTATTTTTAGGGGCACTTGTGCTTTTTTTATCTCATTTCAGATATCTCTCTAAGAAAATTTCTTACCAAGCATACTACCAAAAAACCTCTACCGAATCGAAGATATGTGCAAGTGAGTACCAAGAACTACTTCCACAACCCATAGGAGGAAATTGGCCAGACCAATTGATGTACCAAGACACTAAAATTATTGGCATACTGCTAAGTAATATGTATAAATCTTTTTTCTTTTTATTTCAGGGTTACAGAATTGATTGCTTTTCGCACCACAAAGCACAAGGACTTCCAAATAACTGCCAGGAGGATACGCATATTTAAAGGTTTTTACCCTATTATTGTTAATTTGACCTTATTATTAGTTATGACCATATATTTTATATATACGGGGCCCCGTTTATTTGTTTGTCCCTATTTTTAGGGGCATTAGTGTTTTTTTTTTCATTTCAGATATCTTTCAAAGAAGACATTTTATTGTATGTCTATATGTTTTACCAAGAGATACACGAACCACCAAGAGACCACTACCGAATTAAAGGATATGTGCAAGTGGGTACCAACAATTACTTCTGCAACCCATACGAATAAATGTAATGAAATTCTATGTTTACCTCTTTTTAGGTCTTGCACGAGATTTGGCAGAAAATATCATCAACTCAAAACCAACTAGCACCACTTCTACCTGAACTACCGCCTACAACTGGATTGGATGATTTGACATAAGCGAAAGGAAAATTAACTGTGAGATAAGACTTTCTATTATTATAGTATTATTTAGTTAATATCAGGTTAGGGGACGTTTTGACATTAAAATCTTCGGTCGTACCTTTTTTGGGGTTGTTCGCGTACTTTTATTCAGAGCTCAAAAGGGTGGCGTCATGAAAGAACCTCTCTTATATTTTTCGCGCTCTTCTTTACATTAATTAATTAATTATCATTTGTCCTTAAACTTCATAGGCTGGGAACCTATGAAGTTTTTTTTCAAGTGTTTACATGGTGGATCTGGGGGGTACATCATGTAAATGCTCTTTTTTTATAAATTTACAATCACCGCTAAAATACTGAAGATAAGATTTTTTATTGATTTTTTTCTTTACCTCGAGAGGTTCTTTCATTTTTAAAAACCGAAATTTTTGGGTACATTAGGTCATTTCGCGGGGATTGTTCTTTTCGCGATATCAGTTAGGTATAATTAGTTTAAGTGGATTAGGGCTGCACAAATCGATACTTAGTAGTATTTACACTATATCCATTTCCATCTGAAATGTTAGAAACGTAAATATGAATAAAAGTATCTATTTCTGTGGCGACACCACATTAAAAAAAACGCGCCTGGCAACTCTACCCCATGGGTGGTGAGGAAAAGAGTTGCATCCTCATTAAGTACATATAATTATCAAAATTAAAATACATAAATAATTATGTTAATTAATAAACATAAATGTGTCAATATATGTGTCAAAATATCTTAAAATAAAATTTTTGCAAAATAATCTTTGCTTTTTAATATGTGGTTAATGTTATTTTTAAATTTTTTTTCAGAACTTCATAAAGAATTATTAGATGCTTTCAGGAAGAATATTGTCAATAATTATTAATTTTGAATTAGTTGAATAAATACTATAAATACTACAATGCGAAGAGTTATATAATTTTGATAAAACATATTTTATCTCTTCGCATTGTAGTATGTATATAGTATTTTTTCAACCTCTAATTCAAAATTAATAACTATTATTCTTTTTAAAAGCATATAATAATTCTTTAGTATATGTGAGATATAAAACTTTAATCAGAATTGAAAATAAAATCTGAATTATTTTCGATATACACAAAAAAAAATTGTTAAAATAAGTAGAAAGTTCTTTGAATCATTCAAATCGGACGCTTAGTTCTCTCAAAAACTGCCATTTTTTGCACATTTAGCTGGGTATCTTCGAAACGGCTGGAGCTGCCTTTGCCAAAATTTAATTACCACTTCTCCCCATCATTACGAATTGAATGTTTTTTAGATCATTCAAATTGGATGCTCCGTTCTCTCAAAAATCTATTTCTATTTTTTGCACTCTTTGCTCCGTAACTCCGAAATTACTATTTTAAATTACTATAACTTACCCAACACAAAGTTAAAAATTATATCTAAATAATTTAAAATAAATTGTTTAATTAAAAAAGTAAAATTTTGTCTATTAAAAAGGGCGCCTGAACGGATAGGGCCTAGGGCGGCAGAAAGCTTAATCCGCCACTGATGATCAGTTAATGTGCTGATCATCTTCCTTATCAACGGTGCTGATGATGTGTCAACAAGACATTACAAGTTCACATCATGGCCCACTGCAATCAATAAATCATTTGTTTACTCAAAATATTTAGTACCCCAATCCCAGTAAACGATGAAACAAAACGCGGCGTTCAATCATTAAAATTAAAAATAAAAAAATAGCAAAATTTCAATAAAAGTTCGCGCGGACAATAAAAAAAAATGTAAAATTTTTGTATAAAATCAAACAATGACGAAAAAAATAATTAAAAGTTAATGACCATATTGGTCAGGAGCAAACCACAGAAATATAAAAATATACAGAAGGTGTTTTAAAGGCGACGAACGGGGTATCAATCGCACCATGCTGGGATCACGTTTGGTCAGTAGAATGGCTTTGCTAAACATGAAGCACAACTCAGTTGTGGAGACATATAGAGGTGAGTATTATTAAAAAAAATCACATTTTAAATAGAAATTTTTAAGGCGAAATATATTTAACCGAACAACTAGCCTTTCCTCAATTGATCATTCTGACGTGTGTGATTGTGAGTAATAAATAATTTGAAATAAATAAATTAATTTCATTATAAAATATATCTATATCCTGTCTGTCAAAAACCTAAAATAAATGAATAGAATTTAATTATTATCATTCAGGTTCGTTGTGGTGCGAAAATGGGCGGCCCCGGACCTACGCCCACGCAATCTCGTGTCTCGGACAGGGTTTTGGGGGTTATTATCCTTGGATGCCTACTATTAAATCTGGAATGGCGACTGCGGCCAAAGACGATAAACCACTTTTGGTGATAATTCACAAGGTGAATACGAACACAATTACAACAACTTTGTTAACTTCAATAAGATAATTATAAATTTTCTTTTCCGATAGTCATGGTGCAGTTCCAGCTGCGCTCTCGCAGAAAGTGCAAGAAAATGTCCTGAGATGATACGTTTAGCAAACTTTTTCATTATGGTAAATCTAAGGGATGATCAAGAGCCAAAGGACAAAAAATATATGCCAGATGGAGGATACACTCCTAGGTAAGATAAGAAACAATCAGATTTCCTATTTCAATCGTTTGCACAAATAATTAGTTAATACAAATTTATAATATTTCAGGGCATTGTTCTTCACCCCCCAAGGAGAATTTCGGCCAGACATAATCAACCATGCAGGCCCTACTCAGTATCAGTTTTACTACCCTAATGCAAGTGAATTAGCAAAATCCATGGCACTGGCCTTAAAACGGATGAAGCCTCTTATTTACAAAGAGTTCTGTTGTTGTCATCCTGCATGAATATGAAATTCATGAAACTGTTTGGACGAGTTCAAAATTTTTTTGTTGTGATCAAAATATCAGAAAACCAAAAACAGGTTTATTTTCAAATTGCAATGGACGTGGTTTCAGCATGCTTAGTAAAATGGACTGTTCTTACAACAAACATTATCAATTTTTATGAAATACTATAACTTGTATGTTTTTTTAAAAAAAAATACAATAGGCTTTTGAAACACATAAATCAAAAATTGTAGTTTCATTACGTATTAGCATATCAAATTATAGTGCTAAATTATATTATTTAAAAACTTACCGTAGGTTCCTCATCGACAGGTTCTGTATATACTTCCAAGGCTTCAATTGGTTTGCTATTGATTTTATATTGATGATTATATATTCCATTGGAAGTCCCTTGGGTATTATTTGATCCGTTAATGCCATTGTTAAGAGCGATTGATGATCGTCTTGAACACGGACTTGAATCTCTAAAAATAAAAAATAAGATTAAAATTAATAAAGCTAAAATAAACCATTTTGTTTCCTTTTGCCCTTCGTATTAAAATCAAAAATATATGCAAATTTGCAATGGATCCCTTAAACAACTACTTTCACGTGGTTCAGAGAATTGTGATAAACCTTTTTATATCTAACAAAAATAAGTTAATCATTAATTTGTGGTGGCTCTCACACCATGGACCTGCCTTCGGGCAGTCTACCATTTATTATTTATTATTATCTAATAAAAATTTTGTTAAGCAAATGATTTAACAGTATGTTCATGCAATTAATATATTGAATCATAGATATTGAAGAAAAATCAATTTTACATAATTTTGTAATTTTACTTAAAAAATGCTATTGATAGAAAATATCTCTGTCACATTCTGGTTGTTCCCTTGTATAGAGCAAGCCTACAGATGACAGTTTTATGTAGAAAAGAACTAAAAATAAATGCTGTATAAATTACCCCTATAGGAATGCATTGACATCGCACGCGCCTCGGTAATAAATTACTTAACACTTACTGATCACAATGGTATGAGAACCTGATATATGGATATTTGATTCTCCTCTTTATTCTGTATTTATATATTATTCTTATGCTTTAACAAATGAGATAAATAAAAGATGTTTGAAAAAAATTGTATTAAAATAATCAAATAATGTTATAATATTTTAGTATAGTCATTTGGTGCAAAAAAAGGCTGTTGTTCAAAGTGCTGTCATATATGGAGAGATTTGATACTACGGCGAGAGCAGCAAAGACTTTGAGGCGGCCGTACTCTGAAACTATCAATTTTACAAAAAAACGGTTCTCTAAAGATTTGTAGGAAATTTTCTCTAGTTTAATTCGTACATAGATACTTTTATCGTAGAATGAGCCAGAAAGGAGATATTTTAAAAAAGCTGTTTTTTGACGCCATTTTTTCAATATGGCACCTCGAAATCTATAAGATTACCAATTTTCAGAATTCCCGGAGTACTGTACCGGCAAAAACGACCAAATGACTGGACTATTTAGCATAATCCCATTTAACAAATACTATAGCTTATGTAAAATCTTGTAAAAATTCTCAATTATTTTCAAAATTATAATATTTTTAAAACAGCTTCAATCTGTTAATATATAGTGAAAACGCACATTTTAATAAAACATTAATTAGTTTCTTGTGTATATTCTTTATCTTCCTAAAATATATTTATTCCAAAAAAGCGTAATGATCTCACTCATGTCACGGTACGAAACGGAAGCAGTTTTATTTTAAGATTGTTCTATTACTCGCCTCCGAAGACATTTTTTTGCTTCTTCTCTTAATATTTACCTTTTCCGTGACCGAGGCGAGGACAAACAGTAAACTGTGGACAGAGGCAAAAAGTAGCCAATTTGTGGGTTGGCGTAGCCGCCGGCTTCGTCTGGCGTACAGTAGTACGGCATATATTGTGTTTGGTCCATAATTTTGTTTTCAATTTATAGTCATCTTCAAATAACACTTTAATCTTGTGCCAACAATAACAATTAGTTCGTAAATAACACTTGTTTTTAGACCGGCTGATGTTTGTTTTTAGTTACTTCATAGAGCCAATAAATTATGAAACTTTTATTAGGTGATATATTAATATACGTATACAAATACACTTATGAAAATTAAGCTATAAACTGATTCTGATATATAATCAATTATTGAATTTGATATGTACTTGTAGATGTTGAGTGTTAGCTGATCATAATTACATCTTATAGGTGAGAAAATTGCACATTTAATGTAATAATATGGCACAAATTAATGCTTTGGAACAGTTATCGTGTTTTTGATGTCTACAATAAAATCAAGCTATTACACAGGCCTACAAAAAAAAATTTTTTTGTTGCTGATTCTTTATTATAGTATTTTTTGCGCTAATTTCAAATCTACAAACCATTTTTTTGTATCAGCTCTAATCTGGAACTTGAAAAAAAAGTTGCCGAAACCAGGTCCATTCTAGATCGTCACGGAAAAGAACTTTTCACAGTGTCAACTAATGTCCCAACTAAGGCCGAATGGGTATTGTAAGTTTGTATGTACGAGTAGGTATATCTCATTAAAATAACATTCTGAATTGTATTACTATTTTGTACTTTCATTCCTTATATATCATATATATAATATCTTGAAAACTAAAGCTCATAGAAAAAAACAATGTCATTTTTGAAATCAGCGCCCCAAATATACTTAAAAACAGCATTAACATCGTTTGCACTATTTTCTTTGTTGCTCTGTGTATTAATTAAGGGTGATAGTACCTTTGTCCTGAAAAAAAATTCGAAAAAGAAATTATCTCACGTTGTTTGGAAATTAGGAGCCTTCAAGTACAACCTAGAGGTTTGATTAAATTATGACAAGTTTTCGGTTATTTTGGTTAATTTTTATTCATTCAAACTTAGGAACCGTAACCGTAAATAACATTTCTAGGACCACAATAAAAAATATCACAAATGCCGCACGTTTTCAAAAATTAAGACTTTTTGTAATAAATTGGTAATTGACAAGAAACGCTTGTCAATTATCAATGCTGGTTTTCTTCAAAGATTTTCAATAATATTCTATAAATATCACACACCCCTATTTCCTCCACAGTTTTTTTTTACAATGCAAGTAAATTAAAAAAAGTGTATGCAGGGACTTTTAATTTCAATGAAACTGCAGTTGGCTATGAGCATCAATTCCCTAATTAAAAGACTCTATTTGCAAGATGCATACATTAAAAGCACTGTGGCATATGGCATTAAGATTTGTCAGCTGTTACACAATTTCACATTTGATCTTAATTAGTACACAATTATTATACAGAATTGTTTCTAAATAAGAAATCTTTGAGCTTTCGGTAAACTAAAATTTTCCAACAATTCACGAGAAAAATCAAATATATAATCGAGATTCAAGCGTACTCGTTGTAAATAGAGAATATAAAAGCCGTATAAAATCAAAAATTAAATACGGTAAACAATTCCTATTATAAATACCCGTTATCAATCAAGTTACCAAATATTTGTCCGTTATACAATTATAGGATTTTGCACCCAGTTGTAAATTTCACACTTAAAGATTTGCTAAGAATGATTTATTAGAGAAAATATCTTAAACTCATATAATGGGCACTACTCTAACCAATCTATTGATACGATTGATTGTTTTTAAAATACTCTTAGGTTGTAGTATGTATCTGCCAATTGAAATTAGTAACGTTTATAAATAAATTCACACAGGATCTAAATCGGAATCCATCTGATCTACATTAGTAATGAATGTCTGGACGCTGAGTGCATGTTGTTCCAAAGATGCTTTTTGTATTTATAGAAGCATCGTTATATTGCCAAGCTTGCTTATGGACAATGCACTCTCCAGTTCTGATTCATATAAACTTATATCAGTTTCAAAAGCTAACAAATGCACTCTTAACTAACATAACAGAACAGAACAGAACAGATCTGTTTAAGATATAAAAGTAATTATCAGCACTTTTGCAGTTTTCTTATCGGAAATTGTAGATAGAACTTTATGTGCATTCGATAAAGAAAAAAGTATTTGAATGATAAAAATATGGTTTTATTTATTTTATCTCTAACATATGGTTACAGCAATATTGGGTAACCGTTGGTCTTTTCGCTGATTTCACACATAATGGACCATGGTAATTGAGAGAAAACTAAATAATGTTTCTAAAAAAATAATAGATTTCCAATAGTGGATAAAACAAACAAAATAGATTTAGTAATAATTTAAACAACAGTAGTAATTTTTGCTAAATAGTTGCTTCTACCTTTCAGAACTGATAAATTTATCTCCCGAATTAGTCTGAATATACATTAATAATCTTTTGGCTTCTCTAGCGCGGAAGTAGAATACACAAACCCATAAATATAAATACATACACAAAAATATAATGTGCGTTTGTACATGAACGTATTCATATATGTGTAATTTCATATTGTATTTTGTACTTAGCATAAATATGCCGGCATACTATTTGACCACCCAATTATAAATAATTAGTTATTGAAAGTTTCACACAAATTAAACCCAAAATGTAATATTTCAATTAGTATCCCGCATGGTAAACTGACATGAGTTGTGATAGATTTATTGCTTTTGTGCCTTCCAAAATCTAATGTATTTAAAAATGTTTTAAATTGATGCAGACACCCTAAAAACATTTTTCAAATGGCAAAAAAAAATTGCTAACAAACAAATCTGATATAACTTGATTCGCCGTTTAACAGTTTTTAGGACCCATGTCCTGAAAAGATTTACTGGAAAGATTTATATTTCAGCTTTAGCAGAGAGACTTTCAAAAGAGCAAACCATTATATCGAATTTCCACTTACGCACAATAACTTCAAAGAAATCATCTTTAAAAGAAAAAATATTCTTAGAAGCACTTCAAATGGTGTAAACTGCCAATTATATGATCTATTTTAAAACACCAATAAACGGGAATAACAAAACTTTAAATAGTATTAAATACATTGATTTTATCCT